GAGGGTTAGTTCACACCATATGCAGTGCGTTCCGGTCCGATTCTGGCCGGAACGCACTGCATCGCATTGTGGGCGGCTCACTTTTTTGCCGGGCTGGAGGGGGTGTGGCAGGCCATTGAAGTGAACGGCACCGTAGCCACACCCTCCGGCCATAATGCCATCCCCCGCACGTAATCGCAATGCACATGGTGCCTGCGGTGCGATCAAAATGCTGCAAGCACTATTTTGATCGCACCGGACCGCAGGCACAATGTGCCTTGCGATGGCATTGTGGCCGGAGGGCGTGGCTACGGTGCCGTTCACTTCAATGGCCTGCCACACCCCCTCCAGCCCGGCAAAAAAGTGAGCCGCCCACAATGCGATGCAGTGCGTTCCGGCCAGAATCGGGCCGGAACGCACTGCAACTGGTGTGAACGGGCCCCAAGAAAACCACATTCATTCACTCTGCCCCAAACAGTTCTGATTGAAAGCTAAACAGCAAGGCTGATAAAACTTTATTAAATAATTTTAAATAGAACAAGGGGAATTTATCAATATAGGAGAAGACGACGTCTGGAGCAGTTCCCCATGGAAACCAATCGGCTTCTATCTTTCATTTTCAAAGCTTAAAGGAGAACTATGGGGTCAGGGCTTTTCCCCATAGTTCTCCTAAGGGTAACGGGAAGGCACAAACTAGCATCCTCCCGTCACTCAAAGCTCAGTATACCGCGAGCAACAATACTGAGACACTGCAGCCGGGACGCATCCCGACTTTACTGTCGAGATCCACCCAGCTGCGGGATTGACAGCTGGCTCTGCTTATCTAGAGGCAGAGCAAGCTGTACCCTCCCCTGTCCGTTCTGCCAGTCAGCGCTGGAGGATCGGATGGGGGAGGGGGGGAATCCTTGCAGGAGCCGTGAGTGACAGTCACCACTCTCTGCAGGGACATGATCGAGAAGTGAGCGAGCGACGGTATGTGTTCGCTCACTTCCCAATCTATTGAGCTGACGTGTGACAGCTTCATTGTCACAGGTCGGCTAGAACTATGAGGCTGAGTGATTTTTCACTCGCCTCATAGTTCTCCTTTAACTGAACAAACTGAAGAGAGAAGCTACTTGGTTACTGTGGGAAACTGCTCCTGATTCTGTCTGCTCCAGTTTTGATAAATTCCCCCCAAAGTGTATAAGTGAACATGTCTTCATTCAATATCTCTGTAGTCCTCTGCACAGCAATGCTAACATGGAGTGTTAGAATTCTGAAGTGGTCAGGACTTCTGTTTTTTTTTTTTTTTTTTTTACAGACTAATGTTTAGAGTAGCTGAGGTTGTGTTGCAGGGTTGACCTCAACATAGTTTGTTTCGTCGTTGCCTAGTCTGACATGGGCAAGTCTAAGACTAAGCTGCATTACAGACTTGGCTGTGCTGTCTGGCAGGAGTATTTTGTTCCCATAACTGACTGAACAGAATTTTGAATTCTTTGTCAAGTAGAACTGTCACATACAATACATGTATTTTAACTGTGGATTTTAGCTCTTTGAAAGAAATTCAGCTTAAACAGAGCCAGTAAATTCACTGAGATCAGCGTACTGTTGGGTCACCTGTTTAAAAATGTAAACATTAGTGCATTTTTTAAACACAGGAGAACATGGTTCTTTGTACAAGGCCAATTAAAATTTTTATTTATGTAATAAAGCTGACAAAATGATTAGTATGTTTAATAAATAAGTACATGCATAAATATTACCTTGGAAAATGATGGTTTGAAGGCAACTTCTTTTAAATAGTTACAGATCAAAGCAAGTGTATATAGTACAAAAAAAATAAATCCTTGCTGTTGGCTGTTCACTGAATTGCTTGGTCAGCTCCCAGTCTAAACCTGTTCCGAGCACAGACTGATTCACTCCCCCCTTCCCCTTCAGCCTCTCACTACTATACTTTTTTTTTTTTTTCTCTTTGTGGTATATAAGTGAGCACAGCAAACCCACAATACTTGCAATGCCTATATAATTAGGTGATACAAATCCTGTGGAACGATATTACATTCCTTAAACATCAATGAGTAAAGCTTGGCAGGTCTACACCAAGCCTGGCCTACTCTCAAAATATAAACAGCCATTTCTGTACTTTCTTTTCAAGTATTGGGCTAAATATTCTATAATCTACTTTGAAAAATGAAATCAGTTAGTGGTTATGAACATTTTTATATGAGCCAGGTCTCTTCATGATATAAAAAAAAAAATCACAACTCTGACCTTGCTGTTATCGTCATCTCCTAGAAAGAGAATTATAATGTTTGGTACAGGGTGTATATAGCAAACTTCCCCAACTGTAGAATTAAATCACTTGATCCATCCCAAAAATATGCATGATAGGATCAAAAGTCAATGATCAAGACTTAGCTATTCTGGCAACAAATGAATGTACTATCCACAGTGAAACCATCTGACCTTTAAATCAAAATAAAACACATAATTTGGAGTGTTTACATATTTTATATGTTTTTTTGTCTTCCAACTTCCGTTCCTAGAATTGGAATATCACTCTCTTCATGGCACAACCTGGTCACTTCTGTTGCTGCTCCTATTCTATAAAGATTAGGAAGTAAAATTATTGTGCTGCCAACCAAGCAAAGGGACGCATTTTAAAGGGTCATGAGAGAAATATGCTAGTTGTTCTGCACTGACTGGTTTTAGAACTAAAGCTAAACCTTTTTTTGGGGGGAGGTTTAGTTCTCTTTTGGGTCAAAGGAGTACATTTACTAATATCCTCCTGTGACCCAGAGTCGGCATCTATTGGGCTACTCCCCACTATATGCCGACAGCGCAGAGTTGTGCTGAAGCCAGGAAAAGATCCCAACAATATGGTCATGATCCACCCCCCAGCTTGATTAACAGCTGGCTCTGCCTCTCTAGATCCAGATCCAGCTGTGCCTGCCCCTTCCCCTGTCTTTCCCGCCAATGGGTGCTGGAGGAATGGAGAGGGGAGGGGGGAATCCCTGCAGGAAGGAGACAGTGAGCTGAGCCATCAGTGGTTCGTGATTGCTCAGTTCTCGATCTATAGACGCATATCTATAGAGATCTAGAGACACCTGCAATGTCACGCGCCGACTCTAAGTATTGGGACAAGTATATTTTACTCTCCTTATACTTCTTTAATACTTTAGTGCCAGAAACCTAAAACAAATATGTTGTAGATGAATGCCAGAAAATTTTCTACATTTCTTATCTCTATGCTCGTTCCAGGTCACATGACAACCAGGGAATAAATATTCTCTAAAGGAGAGTTCAGTATTGCAGCCTACACGATTCTCTCATGACCGGTATCCTTAAAAAGAAATCCAGTAAAAAATACAGCCATCAGATTAAATGGATAGACTACCAGGAAACTTGGGTTTAGCTTTTAATAATGCTTAACATTCTATCTCCGACAAGGGGGTGTTCCCAGCAAAATCATTCCTTGACAAACTGATCTGTCTTATGATAACCATTATCAATATGTATAAGATGACTCTGCATAAGATCATGAAAATAAATAAATTGCCCTACCTTGTTGGTGCAATTTCAGACTTCATCTTTAGGATGGATCAGAAAGATATAATTAATGTCATGAGAAGTACAAATTTCCTCTAATGCCAACCAAATTTAGCCGGCAACAGCCTCTTCCAACCTCAACCATATCTATAACTTTTTAACATTTGCTTTACATTAAGGGCTCATGTAGACAGGCATATTTGGGAGCAAATGCAGACGTTTTGCCTTCAGAATCTTACACCTGTGTGTGTGCAAACGCCAGTGTCGGTGATTACAGCCACGGATCTGGGTACATCACTTTCTGTCTATACATTCCTTTGGGCCGAAAAAAGTAGCAACTGTGGCTCCCGGATGCTGCAAATACAGGTGTATTTTATGCTGTATGTAAATACACTACTATTTGCTCCTGAATATGTTCATACAAATGAGCCCTAAAACTTAAAGGCAGCCATTTATTCAATTTAAAAAAAAACATACAAGCTACCCAACAGTCAATGTGTGAGCATCCATTCTCTATGGAAAAAAAAACCAAACCAATGTCAAAACTCCTCTGAAAAGACAGTGGCGCTTAATACAAAAAAAAAAAT